TTCCAACTTGACTCAGGCAGCGAAGAATATTATTGATAACTTCACGCTGATGCCCCGAGATAGGCTATTTTATTTTTATTTTATTGATTTATTTATTTTTTTAAAATATGAATTTAGTTGGGCTGCAAGGTTGGTCAGTGGTTTGCACTGTTGCCTCGCAGCAAGGAGGTCGCTGGTTCGTGTCCCAGTGAGGACACCCAGGATCTTTCTGTGTTTAGTTTGCATGTTCTCCTCATGCAGTGTGGGTTCTCTCCAGCTTCCTCCCACACAGTCCAAAGACAGGTTGAGGTTAATTGGTGATTCTAAATTGTCTGTAGGTGTGAATGTAAGTGTGCTTGGTTGTCTGTCTCTAAGTGTAGCCCTATGATAGACTGGTGACCTGTCCAGGGTGTCCCCTGCCTTCACCCTAAGTCAGCTGGGATAGACTTCAGCCCCCCATGACCCTAGTGAGGATTAAGTGGTGTATAGATAATGGATGGATGGATGGATGGATGGATTTTATTTTACTGTGATTTTACAGGAAATTGTGTTGTATTACTATATTAAACACATTGTCACGGATTTCACTGGTTAATTGCTAGTAGAGATGATAAAATATAATTACACAAAAAAACTAATATGAACTAAAATGGTGGGGCACACTGTAAAAACAAAAATCAGTAAAAAAAAACAAAAAAAACAAAACAAAACATTGTGAACATTTGGCAGCAAGGACACCAGAAAAAGTAAGTGTGTACGCATCTTTAAACACGTGTGCATTAGTAGTTTTTTTCGTGTGATTTTGCGAGATATGATCTTTAATTTAACAAAACAGGAGAAAAAAATCTGTAAAATAACAGTTTAAAACATTATTTATCATTTCTCATTCCTCACTATGTGTAGATATATTTTCTTTAAAACAAAGGCTTTAAATAATATCTAGAAATTAAAAACGTTTTGCTGATATGAATTTAGAATGAAATTGATTTTTTGGCTAAACTATAAAAGAACAAATTACCATTTATGAACATACAGACTGTTGATGTTGACATTACAGTTTTAATTGTTTTTTTTCCCTAAATGTAAATTAATATTTTTTTCAGTGATTTTAATAGATATTTTCTGTAATTTAATGAAACAAAATTAGTATAATAATAATAATACTAATAATAAAATATCCCAAACGGTAAATTGTTCAAAGCATTACAGATAAAAACAGTTTTAATAAATGTTTCACAGTGTAGATGAGTCAATGTTTGTGTCTGACTGGTATAAATGTGATTATTCATGTGATGCTGCCCTTCTATGCTGTTCCTACACTTACATACCAGTAAGTTGCTAATAAATGTGTCTTTTTTATGGTGAAAGGTAAACTAATTATTATTATTTTTCTTTCTTTTTTTCTCAAATTCAACATACAGGTATGGGGACTTGTGAAAGTCTGCCATCCATCTCCATCCCACCTCCGTTCCTCCGTCAGCCGAGTGACACGTTGACCCAGAACATAGATCCGACTCCGTTGTGCTTCCACAGAGACAGATTCACTTTCCCCCTGGTTCACCACCACTCAGAAACGAGGACATCCCTCCCTTTGGCAGCTGAGGCGATAAGACAGGACGGCCTGCAGTGGAACCAGCAGCCTTTTATTTGGACCAATGAGAGGTTTCTGTTCACCCAGGATCCATATCGCTATCTGGACTGAGAGAACACATTTGTGACATCAGTGAAGAAAAGAAGCTCAGTTTCTGGACTGCAGGGAACCACTGCGGCCACTAGAGGGAGACAAAGGACTGACGTTATAATCTTGTTTCTTTTTTTTTTTCCTGCAGCTTCACTCATCACCTTTCCCTGACTCTTCACTCTTTAAGTGCTATTAATAAGGAGCAACAAGAATTTGTTTATTAAGTATTACACGCGAGAAAAAGGTTCTCGTCATCTTTGATTGGCTAAACGGGACAATTAAATGAATCCACTCAACTTTCTTGTAAAGAAGACAGAGTTAATGCAGATGAATAAAGCTGAGCAGATAAGATGATAGTAAACCTTTTATTAGCGGCGATGCTTCCAGGAAATAGAGTGTTATTTGCCAAAGTGTGATTAATCCAATAAACACCGGGGGTCCATTTTTAGAAGGTACATTTAGTGCAGACGGAGAATATTGAATAAATAAATCATATTTTGAGAATAACTTTTAATGCCGAGCTCCAATCGCGAATCCGGTCGTTCGTTTCATGTCCGAGGACTTGCTGACTGCAACATAAATCGCAGCTCCACGGATCATTTAAGGTTACCACATGATGATATGGATGTTATCTCTTTTATAGTCTTGGCCTCGCTTGTTTGTTTAAGTGCAGAACGAGGTTAAGGCAACCTTCCAGGATTTCCGTCCAGAGCGAGCCAGTGGGGAGATTCTATAAAAGTATAGCTTCAAAAACGGCTAAACATGACTCGATATCTGCTTCGCTCGGTATCACTTTTTATGAGAGCAACAGGGCAGAGGCATTGAGTTCCTTTGTATCCCTTTACTACAGTGAAGAGACAGTAAGACTCGCAGTTTTTTGATAATTGGCCTCCGGGGGAAGAGATCGGGATCAGAATGCAAACAGCTTGGTCAGCAGCGTGGAAGCGGCCTACTGGCAAAATGACCCTCGTCGGAATATAACGCCGTGAAGCCAGACAGGTAAATGACATCTCCACATGACAGCGGACGGAAGCGTTGTGATTTCTACTCCAAATTTCTTTTTTTTGTATTTTTATTTTTTTAAAATTTCATTGAAATGTTCTCTAACGCTGTATAAACTGAGACCAACTTTAGCATCGCTGAAAGCGCTCAAGGGTGAAACCAACTGCAGTGGAAAGTTCCAAAGTACATTCACTCCAACGCTGTACTGACATCTTTCAAGGACTTTGAGTATTTCATGCAACTTTATACTATATTTAAGAGACAAATATAACTTTTTTTTTACTACACTACATTTTTTTGACAGCTCTACTTGTTACTTTAACGGTTTGGAATTTGCATTGAAAATCCATTTTTTATGGATTGTGTGGATTCCAGCCTTTTTTGACTGTTCTCAGTTCCACTAAAAAGAAACATTTTCCGTGTAAACTCTTCACCTCGTTTCATAACTGTTTTAATTTTCCCTGATGTAAAATTTTTTTTTTAAAAAGGCCCAAAATATGAATGCAGATTTGTGGATATTAATCATCAATCAGTATCAAGTCTATCAGACAAAGGGCCATTTTTTTGTAGATGGAGCATTTTTCCTTTTCATATTTTGAATAATTTTCAGTTTATTTTTCATTTAATTTGTGAGAGAGTGTATTTCTGTTGTTGTATCACTTGTTTAACTTAACCCTATTCAGGACTTTCATGTTGCCATATGTAGAAGGTCTTTCAGGGTCCACTGGACCCAAAGAAAGAATATCCATCCATCATCTATACACCGTTTAATCCTCACTAGGGTCGTGGGGGGCTGGAGTCTATCCCAGCTGACTCAGGGTGAAGGCAGGGGACACCCTGGACAGGTCGCCAGTCCATCGCAGGGCCACACATAGAGACAGACAACCAAGCACACTCACATTCACACCTACGGACAATTTAGAATCACCAATTAACCTCAGCATGTTATTGGACCTTTTGGGAGGAAGCCAGAGAACCCGGAGAGAACCCACGCTGCATGGGGAGAACATGGATACTCCACGCAGAAAGATCCAGGTGTCCTCACCGGGACGTGAACCTTCTTGCTGCGAGGCAGTGATGCTAACCACTGATCCACCTTGCAGCCCTCCAAGAAAGAATATGTGCAAACTATTTGCTAGACTTTTATTCTATGTTAAAAACATTTTCTGATAAGTTGACGTATTTGTGGTTCCAAATGCATGACAAATGTCCCTCTTTTTATATTTAAATAAAATCTTAAAAATAAAGAAAAACAATACCTGTCACCTAAACCAAATGGCCTGGGGTCCAAAAGACCCCAAAAGTCCTGAACAGGGTTAAAGATCTGAATGCTTCTTGCTCCACTGATTACACACAACTGCTATTTTTAACCTTAATGTCACAATCTGACACAAATATTAATCTTACATCTGGAGCGTTTAGTATATCTTATCTCATGTTGAGCAACAAGCAAGAGTTTGCTGAAAAGCGCATCCAAGTTCCACCGTCTCTAACGTCTGGGATGTCCAGATTTGTTATCCAAATGTTTCTTAAGGCATGTTATTATTTATGCCCATCACCGGCCGTATGGATGACCCCTGTTGCTTCAGCCACTTAAGAATATTTATTATACACCAGAATTTGCTTCTCGGACTGATGTAAGGACCCAACTGCCAAAAACAGAGTAAACAGACTCCAGACAGAGAGTGTGTTTCTGGCATGTTCCTCACATCATTACACAGAGGGAAATGTCAAGAAAGGGAGGTGGAGAACGCGGCGCAACGTAATGTCAAGTTGTTTATTAAAATAGGAATAATACAAAGGCTACAAAAATGTCATTAATATAAAACAACTCACTAGCACAAAATAGCAGCTGTTACATTTACAGTTTACAAACCTATAAACAGAAGGATCATGTAATAAAAATACTTAAGTATGATATTTACAAAAATTACAAATTGACATTTACAGAACGTATGAGGCTATTTACATGAAAGGTAAATTAAATAACAGTCGCGACACCTCGAGAGGATGTTTGACAAGAAAGACGGAGAAATTTACAAAAACAATTATGTGATCTGCCACGAGAATATTTGGCATTTGGTTTCACCTGTTTATTCAGCCAATGACCTTTAACGAAGTTTCCGTCCTTCAAACTGACGCTTCACAGACTTTTACTTTGGTTGTAAACTGTGCAAGAACTCAGAGGACAGAGTTTACACAACTATGAAATACACTAGGGATGCACCATGTGGGATTATTGCTGATGCCAAAGTTATTCTGGCAAATTGCAGACGATGATATGGGCATGACTGCAGAACATTAAGACTTTATTGTATTGCACTGTGGAAAAAAAACAACTTTTTAAACATAATTAACTCTATTTTTTTGGACCAAATTACAGTTTTTTGTTTAGATGTTTTTTTTCTTTTTTTATTCCATTACAGATAATATCTAGTAAAATCACTGAAATCTAATTCTTTTACAATGTGTGGCCATAAAATGATGCTCTTTTACTGTATTTAAAAATCTAAACAAACAAACAAACAACAGATATCTTCTGTGATTATCATAGTTTTTGCAGTTTTTAAACATTTAAGTATTCCACCTTTTTTTGACTTAATTTTTCTGGCACCTTGCTGTTAGATTTTCTTTTGCATTGTCCTTGTTAGTTTTTTTAATTAATTAATTTTTTTTTTTTTTTTTACAGTGCTCTTATTTTGAAGGCCCACATGATCTAACGAATGCTTTTCAAATGCAAGAGACAACCACTATCACATATTAACACATACCATACTTTTTATGTAACATTTTTCCAGAAACCTGTAAAGTTTTAGATGGAAACCATCTGCCTGTTGATGTTTGTTTTGGGCTGATTGTGATGTTTCATTTTAGAGCGTTTTTGCGTCCATCACTGATGATTCTAGCGATGTCATCGTGCATCCCTATCGTATACGGTTCCTTTTTTCTAAAGAAGGATCATGAACACTAACCAAATGACTCCCTCTCTAACAGGAACGTACAATCCACTGTCTTCAACCCCAACAATGTCTTCATTTTTTCCCCTCATTGTTGTTCCTCTATTGTACCAGTTTCCATGTGATATTCAGAGCTCTTGAACTAGATCTGTGAATCATGACTTCATCTACTTGTAACTGTGACATCAGTCACTGGGCTTCAGAAATTGTGGAAATCGGACTCTCGTAAGCTAAACAAATATTTAAACACTGACATGTATCAAAACCCAGTTGTGTCATATTTGTTCCTCACTGACTGGGCTTCACTTTAATTGAATTAACTGTGTATGAACTTTTTTATTTTGTTTGTTTATACAGTCTAATGACATTATGAGCATGTTGTAATAATTTTTTCATGCCTTTATGACTAAATCGCACATCTTTGACGATACTTTTTGTGTTGTGGATTTGTTCGTACGGCAGATGCAGGTTTAACTGCGTCCCTCTCTTAAAAATCTGATTTAAATTCAACACGGGGCAGAACAAGAGGAACTCAGTATGAACCACGCATCAATAATTTAAGAAGTCAGCCCATAGGAGCTATAATGTACCCAGTATATTGTTTTAAGTGTCAAGTCTTAGTACACCCTGGTTATTTGGGTGCCTTTAATTCTCAGAATAAAGAAACCACAGTCTAAATATCACATCAAAATATGGATTCATTTCTGCTAATTAAAAAAATAAATATACATTACTACTACTTACAAACTACCGTCTCTTTAAATATTAAACATAATCAGAAGCACGAAAAAAAAGCCAATCTGACGTTACTAAGTGAGCCCAAAATATTCCAGATCTATAAGACCTATAAAATCTTACAGCACGGCAGAACCATAATAAATCTGCAGGTATGTACACACGGAGTCACTTTCCATGAAACTAAATAAAAGTATAAAACATCCTACTGACCACACACAGCCCACCAGGGGCCACAGTTCCCTCCAAACCGGAGACCAAATAGCCATGTTATATTTGGCATGGCTCTTCTCTCTCTCATGCTACAAATATTAGCATAAGATTTGGAGCAGTTTGCTCAGTCCTACTTAGACCCTCTCATGGGGAAACTAACAGTTACAGCTAACTAGGGAAAAGGTAGTTCAGCTACTGCACACAATTAGCACTACCGGGTTTGCCAAGGCTGCTGCAGCTGGCTTTTCAAGCAGTGTATTCTTCATATATAGCTACTGGTATATCTGGAGCCAAAGTTTAACCTCTGGTTTAATCACTATTTTCTCAAAGGGAACCTAATACTGACTTCATAATGACATTTTCATTCTTCTATTTTCCTCCTTTATGGTATCGCCATAGGTTGTGCGGTATCCTAAAACCAGATATGTTGACATTTCTGTCTGTCCGCACAACTTGTTATAAAGGTTAAAAGACACATTTTGTAGTCCAGCTCAACACATTTAAAAAAAAAAAGAAGAAGAAGAAAGAAAATCCCAGTCAACGAAGGCCACCGTAATTGGTAACCGCCAAGGAGTTGGGTTCAAGTATATTCCAGGAGATAATACTGAATCACAAGTGTCATTGTCTTTGCTTGCATGGCTTCAGAAACTCTGAACATGTCAAAATACAATTTGTTCGCCGTCCATGTGCCCAAGACTTTGGTTGTAGAAAGGGTGTTAAGGCTAACTACCTGGATCTCCTCATCTGCAAAGTGGAAGACGGGGTGAGATTCCATTTCCAGTCTCCAATCACAAGTCTTCGTCCTTTCCGAAAAATGACAAATTCAGCAACAAAATTCCAAAATGGCCACTTTCCATCAGGTTTGTTTCCTCTTTTCTCCTCCCCCATGGTCCACATCGGAGAGTTTCTTGGCCCAAGTTGCCCCCCCCTTGCCTCTTCCAGGCTGTGTGGGGTAGTTTTTCACACCACACTATCAGTTCCTCTCCAAACTGGGGTAAAGTTTGAACACTTTGTATATCCACTCTGAGTAAAAGGCAACGTTGACAAAAAGCGCAGGCTGCGATGAGGCACATTTTGTCCTTTGGATGCTCACGCCGATGATGACTTTGCGCTCGTGCTCTTGACAAACTAGCGGACCGCCGTTGTCTTTCTGCAAGAAAATAATGTCCAAAGGGCGTAAACATACTGCCGTGTATCTGTGCTATTGTGTGAAACACTGACGCAATTCTTAAAAGGTCAGCTCACCCACATTAAAAAAACAGATTTCACAATTTCAGCCAGTATAAATAAATTTAAGATGGCTGTCATTGAAGCATCTGCTAACAATAAAATAAAAAGAAAATTGTGAAAATACATTTTAAAAAGTCAGGATCAATCATTTTCAGTGGGATTCTAACTCAAAGTGTTTGTTATTTGGGTGAAATGATCCTTTAAGTGCTGCTAACTCATGCTGTTTGTCTGTTTCATGCTCCTTACATCACATACACCTTCTCCTCTGTTGCCGCCGGCACATATTCTGCTTTCCCCGGCGTCCCCTTTGATTTGCGAGCACATGTCATTGTTGACCATGGGCATGGTCACAGTGTTGAGTGCTTCATCGTATCCTGTATCTGAACACAGAAGAAGGAAAAAAAAAACATGAGTAGGGAATGTTAAAGAATTGGTTTTGTTTGAATTTCTATGAACATGGAAAGTGGTTCGACATGTGGGTGAAGAAAGGCAGTACTTTTGGTTTCCCCCCATCCATACATGGTGCAGTTGGTGCCTTCGGTGATGTGACACTCTTTTACTGGAAGGTGAATGGTGGAGGCACCCTCAGACACAGGGGCAGGACTAGAACAAACAGGAATAGTCATGAAATATAAGCAGAAAGTGTTGTTTGTACATGACATGTCTCTCATTTAGTTCCTTTTTTAGATAAAACTATTATAAAGTCTTCTAACAAAACAATAAAAACTGCATCTAGACATCCTGTATGGAATGAAAACAGGCCTTTCATGCTTTTAAAGGCCTAAAATCTATTAATGGTAGGTACTATGATACACAGCATTCCATATAAGTGGTTTATAGAATAATATCAGAAGATTCAGTTAGTGGGAATCCAGTGAGTACTTACTCTGCTAGTTTCAGCATAACCAGATTGGATCCTTCTGGGCCACAGATCAGTCGAGAGATACGCAGCCTTGGATGACTTGAAGACTCATTGAGGTGGCGCAGACCGACCTGTACGCTGTAATCCCGGAGATCTGGAACACTGACGACCACAAGAAGCAGCGTAAGACAGAATCGTACATGTTTGTGACACATAGAGTGGACCAGTGCTCCGAAAGACAGATTTAACTGACCAGGAATTTAACTTTCTCCTTGAAACTCCCCTAAAAACTCAATTTTGTTTATTAAAATTAAATATTTAGAAGTTTTTTGTTTTTTTTTTAAATCTAGTATCCCTGCCTCTCTCACTACCCACTCTTCCTCCGCTTGCTGCATCTCGAGCACACCAGCTCACCTACGACTTTTCTCAAATACTGTGAAACTATTCCACGATACACAATGGCAAGTTGTACTATCGGACTAATTAGCCATATGTGCACAATTTAGTAAAAGATCCTGAAGAAGAATAATGACACAGAAAGCCCCATCCTGCAAGGTGACAGGATTAGTTCTTCAGATGTGTTACGTATGAAAGCTTGGCTGTCTGAAACTGATCCTGGGAAGATCATTGGAACTCTGTGAGGTGGAAATGCTCAGCTATGTAATGCACTTCCTTTTTTGTTTACGATATGTCTTCTGGTATATAAAAACACTGTATAAACATGTGAACAAACTGAATAAGTCAATTAACATCGGACAGGGTTTCTAAGTAGACCTAAAGTACATGATTCTTGCTCACATCAACAGCAGCTTTACTTGCTAAGATGTTATTGTACAGCATGTAACTAGTCATTGCACCGTCAAGAAGAACTCTTAACATATACAGCCATTTTTAAACACTTTTCAGTATTCATTGATTTACAACTTTTTCCAAAACAAACATGATGTTGGTGAATTAAATATTGAAAGCAATACTTTGTTATAACATAACCATTTGCACAGGCTACGTCGAACATGAACTTTTAAAAAAAAAAGCAAGCTGTGTCTTGACTCTACAAACACGAGCTGCTGATCTACACCATATGTAATATTTTCAGTGTTCTCGGAGATACGGTACTTTTCATTAAAGCCACTGCTGCTGATGACAGCAGTGATACTGTGATATTATATGTACAGAATGACTAACAGAAGTTAAACAGATCTGCAGTCTAAAAACATTTTATCCATTTCTTAAGGCAGGTCTGTCTGGGAGAACATAACTTTCAGTAAACAGATTGCAGCCCTCATGTTCGCTCTGAACAATATTAAACAGAAACAGCGAAATGAGGCTGTTTGAAAGATGGGGAGCAGAGTTAAGTCAAACAGAGAACACAAGGAAATAACAGAAGGTGGAGCATTACCAGGAAGTGAAGCACTGTTGGTCTGTCAAAACCCAATCTTCTCTGATCAGTGAGCCGCCACACAAGTGAACCTTCCTGAGGAAAAGTAGGAAGATCATTTTATTCATTACATTACTTTGCATAAGGACATTCTGAAAAACACACATCAAACAAACATAAAATGACTTACTCTCGTTGGATGCTTACAACCCAGCTGCCATCTCTTCCTCGCACTTGATGTCCTCCGACTATTCTGGTGTTTATATGCACAAAGCAGGAGATCTTGGGCCTAGTCAGACCTAAACAAGAAGATATAATGAATATTGTATGTTAGATGGACGCATTTTATTTTACATTTCAATGAGAAAATGTTAGAATTTCAGAAGGTAGGCATAAATATGATCTGCCTCATCAGGTAAAAGCAACAGAAGGATTTCATAGAAAGCATTAAAAGGAAAAGTGACAAGATCAGAGATTAAAAAAAGAGGAAGAAGAGGCACTCACTGTTTGGTTGAGGAGCCACTGTAGATGATTCGCCTGATAGAAGTAAAGCAAACCACAACAATAAGAAGAGACCCCACAGCGGCAAGACATAACTCAGACCACGGACCATACATTGACACACAAAGTCTGTGAAAACAACAACCTCTTATACTTTATAAAGACTTATCTCTGCATCTGAATCATTGTTGGAAGCTATCACTGTCAGCAAGCGCAGCAAATAAATTTGCTCAAGACCTCAAAAACTTCATGGAAGACATGTTTTACATTATGGAAATTATTGTGCGGCCATTCAAAAGAGGCTCTTCGGCACAGCCAGATTGAAACCAGCCAAAGAAAATGTTGGGTCCAGCGGTCCGAGTGTGTGTTTTCTCAAATAAAAGGATGGCAGCAGAGACCCGCATCTGTTTGCTGTTTGAGCATCGTGTATTCGCTGCCAATTGGACAAAACCGCAGCTAACATTACGTAAACCACCAGGCAAGCTGTGCAAAAAAACACAGTTATGACATTTTAGGTGAAGTCAACAAAAGCTGCAAACCTAAAGCACTTGTGTTATTTCACTGCACTACACACAGACAACAACGGAGTCTTCTTCTGCCATTACATGCTTTTCAAGAATTCGTATTTGAACGGTCGGGGGAAGGCCTGTGAAGTCTTTGTGCTGTAAATGTAAAGAAATCATCTTCAACCCTCTTCAGGTTGACAACAAGCTTCCATTGTTGGACTACTGTCCAACATTCCTGACCTACTTCTGAAAGACCTGTTACCAGCTAGTTAGCTTAGCTTAGCTTAGCGCAAAGACTGGAAAACAGGAGGCAAAGTTAGCCTGTCTCTCTCTGGCAGCAAAATATGCCTACCAGCACTTGTAAAACTCATTAATTTATCTGTTATATCTCTTTTGTTTAGCCTGCACAAAAACTGATGCGTAAAGATGAAATGTTGTGGTTGTACAAGTGTGATGAGTCTGAGCTAACGAAGGCTAGTTAGCTGCTGGTTCTAGCTGGCTACATGCTTACCATACACATGAACAGCACTTGTTAGTCGTCATTTGGTTGTAATGAGTAACAGAGTGGACTAGTTTTGCAACTAAAATATTCAATTATTTCACTTTTTTTTTCAAATAAACTGTAAATTTGACGATATTTTCCTGCTCATTTTGATGTGACAAAACGCAACTCCTCGGCAGGTACATGCTAGTTAGCATGTAAGCACATGTGTAGCTCAGATAGCAGAGAGGACAGTCTTCCTGTTGTGGAAATAAATGGATTCTTTTGAATTTGTTATAGCCCTGTGGTGTTATAGTCCTTTCCCCCTTTTTGGGTGCTAAATGATACAAATGCAAACCTTTTCTGTGATTGATGCTATAGGTCGTATACAGTTTATGATTGGGGCCTGCACTTGGACCCTCGACCTTAAAATCTTCTCTCCCATCCTGCCTTTCACCCTTACCGATTAAACCAGTACGCCAGCGCTGATTTCCAATCAAGCTGCATCAGTTATTACAGGTCCCTTTTAAAAACAACTGTCATCCATAATTTTTGGTTTGTGCAGCTCGCCATTGTGACACCTTGTTTGAGAGTTTGGACCTTTGTTCACAGCAGATCTGTCTGTTGTTGTTTGTTTGTTTTGTTTTTTGCATGACACATTTGTCACTGAAAGCTGGGCCAGGCAAAAGGACATTTTCTGTTTTCAGCCTTTAGAAAATCGATTACATGTCACAGGTCACTTCACTTAGAATAAATGGCAACACATTCTACTGTGACAGTAGGATGTGGAGGACTTTCACTAAGTGGGGTTTGAATCCTGAGATGTTGACTTTTAGCTCGGCATTGCATGCTTGAAGTGCGTGCTTGTCCGGTTTGAGGGGCTGAGAACGGAGAGGGGAGAGCTGCAGGAGGACGGCTGTATATTTTCAACTTCTACTGTTTCTTTTTTTCTTAATTTAGTCTTTTCCATATTTCTGGCTTCTGCAGCTTTAAAAGATTACTACAAAATTGCATCAGGTGCATAATTCATGGCCCCTCTCCTCTGGTGAACACAGATGTGTCTACTTACAGAGTTGGACATTAGAGGATACAAGCTTATTTACGTCACTCACAGTGCTTCAGTTTGCAGTAGTCCCAGGCCAAGCGGTTATTTGGATTGGTGTAACACCAGGGGCCATGCTTGTCCCGGTCTGGGTTCCGGCAGTAGTTCTTCTCCAGCCCTACATAGGATATTGTAGAGTGAGAATCCCCACTGTAAAACACACAAATACAGAATCTCATATTCCATTTGTTATTTTGCACACAGTGTATCAGAACTAACACTGGGTCACGTCTCATAAAGATTCACACACTCTTACACTCTAAAAACACACAAGCCTGTGTATACATGGAGCCGCGCACACACCGTCACGCACGTATAGCGCGCGCACACTGTAAGTATGCCTGGAAAGTCTGACTCTGGCTTTCCTATAGTGCAATGAATCCTCTACATTTGCTGCACAGAGCCCGTAGAAGGAAACAGAGTTTTGCGAAGAGTGCTCATGGGAGTATGAAAGTATGCAGTCTAAGCATTCAGCAGGGCTCAGACCAACAGGAGCCACATCCTCCATGGAACGATCTGGTTGTGCACTCGATTGGTAGGAATTCACATCTAATCGCGGTGTCTTTTTGCAGCGCTCCACTTGGCTCTACAAGAATTAAACGTAATCTTCTCAGATATCCAAAATATCCCAGAAAAGCAATTACTAGGTAGGAGTTTGGACACACACACGCAAAAATAATGCTTAGTGATGGGCAACAATTTGTCAGTGAATGGAGATAATTCCGCTTCCCAGGAGAATGTTAAACAAGCTGTAGCTCTCAGCAGTTTCTCCTGCGATGACCCTTGACCTTGAGCAGGGTAGACTTGCTGGCTGCAGTCTATGCGAGGGAGCTGATTGGCTTTGATCTGCTTTCCTCAGAAAGCACTTCCTGGGGTCAGGGGTCGGCTCTGGAACATGTCCATCTGTCTGTGCCATTTTGGCTTTTAAAATTCCTGTAAATTAAGTAATTCCAACAGCCTGACTGCGGCATGAAGCAACAGCCGCGGAGTGGGCAACCTCTCCGTCAGGATGGGTCACCCTCAAAGCACCCCAGGGTTTCCTCTCGTCAGTTAGATGAATAATAATTGGACCTGTTATTGACCCCCGAGGAACCCCCTGATTTCCTCTCGCTGTTTGTTTTCACTGCTTCGCCTCATTCATATGAAAGGGATTTTCACAAGGCAATGGGAGCTAAGTTGTCAACAAACACTCATCAACTGAGCTGAAAAGAATGTCAGTCTCTCTAGGAAACAGTGCTTCTCAGAACAGCTGCAACTTGACTGGGGGTTAGCGAGGAGGGCAACACAATAAAAATCTCTGCAGAGTAAATTGTTACCTGTTTATGTGATGTGACCAGTCTGCACAGGGAATCCCTGATCGAGTTGTGGATAAAGTGCCCCGGTACATCTCTCCGTTATCTTCATAACACTCTGCGGAAGATCAAGATAACGTTATTTTAGACAGCACTATTAAATATTCCCAGGAGTGCTGAGAATTACCGAGCCTGGCAGTTTTTCAAACACCTAAATGACTTCAGTAAGTGGGCATACTCGCAAAAAACATCCATGCTCTCGCAGACACAAAGTAGGGATTTGGGTGTGTGCTACTCTTTGTGGTTTGGATCAATTTAACGTCAAGGGCCTCGGTGTAACTGGTGGTTCTCAAATATAATATAACATTTAAACCTTTCTACGTCTGTTCTTAAACAGAATCAGAAGCGGGCCTTTGGAAACAAACCGACTGGCTGCTTTGTGACACGTGTGGTCTTCTGAAATGTAAAGCAGAGAAACATGGGAAATGACAGCGAACACTCTTGCCAAAGTCTGGTGTTGTTGTTCTTCCATGAAATGGAATTCATTGGGCAGCACGCTGCCAAGTGGCTCAGTCCTACGAGAGCAACATAGAAAGTGTCTGTGTAATCCCACTTTGCACAAACATGACAAGTCTTTTAAAGCATCTGTGGTTCAGCTTTTCGTATTTTTGTTTTTCAGGAAACAACATGGAAATTTGTTAGTAATTGACACAATGCTTGCCATTTCTTGGATGTTTGGTACTTGGAAAACACTCTGGTTGTTTGAAGGGAATGGTTTGACATTTTGGAAATATGCTTTTGGCAAGAGTTTGGTGAGAAAATTACTGTCATTAAAGACTAAAGACCGGGATTAAGGGGAAACAGTTAGCCTGGCTCTGAAAGTCTGATGGTGAGAAAATTCACACTTCTGTATGCAGCATGCTGTAATTCATGTAAAGCCAAAATACAAAAACAACACATGGTGGTTTGAGGTGAGGGCTCGCTTTTTTGTGGCTGTGACTTTTAAAGAGCATCCATTGGCTACTTGGCAACTTCACAGTTATGACAAAACTCTGGCTTGTTCTTAGACTTGTTTCTGCATGGACTAAATAAACAAAATGCATCATGTTAATTAGTGATCTTTAGCGATAGCAGTTGGTGGATTTTTCAATGAATAATAATACCCAGGCTTGCTATTATTCTTTTTTTTCCTCAAAACTTTATGCTAAGCTAACAGGTGGCTGGCTACATGTTTAGCATACACACACAAGTGCTGTAACTTGTCACATGTAATCCTGAAGAAGAAAGCCAATAAGTGCACATTCAAAAATATCTCTGAGTATTTTGGAGTATTTTACCTATTTTTTGCGTGTCCTCTGCATCACACCTGGGAATGTGGCTGCAGTTGGCTATCCTCTGATTTGGGTCTGTAGTGAAGCACCATGGGTAATCTGCGCCATCGGGGTTACGGCAGTAATTCTCTCTGAGGTCTCTATAACACACACACAAACTACAATTTAAATGATGGTGCTGACGACTGTGTTTTTTTTACAGCAAAGCTTGCAAGTTTCACTTTCATTAATCCTCTGTAAGGCATTTCAAATCCACAAAAATGTCCTACTTGACGCTGCAGAGAGAACTGAATCCGCACTATGAAACAAACATTACTCACTTGCACTTGAAGTTCTGAGGAAGGAAGGAGTGGTTATGGGGGAACTGAGAGTCCCAGCGCTGACATGTCACACCCTCTGGAGTGACATTCATTGTGCCTCGGTAATCTGTGCCCTTTCCCTGGACGCAGGACGTTGTTATGTTGACATCAGAGTCCTCGCTGGGGTCTGAGTCTGCAACAGGAAAATGTAATAGTGAGGGGAAGCTTGAGAAAGAAGGTAAAGTCGCTGAAAAAGAGAGGTGCAGAAACTGGAGGCAGGAATGAGGGAGGGAGGGAAGGAGGGAGATTTTAATCCGCAGAAGAATGTGTCATGTTTAACATAGAGACAGATGATCAAAAACAGTAGCACTCCCTCCGGCTTGTATTGCGATAGGAACCTTTCCGTGTATTCACAACACTGCTGTCCTACATTCTTGCACATTGGGACATCCACAACAATAAGGAGCTGCTTAGCTTGTTGACAGCAACAGCTTTGTTACAATCATCATATTTATACCTTTGCTTCTACAGAGTTCTGTTTCTGGGGAATTTGTTTATTGCTGGCCAGCGAAAGATATCACATCCAACCTGGTCTGGCTCGGGCAACTTTATCCACTGGCAAACTATTCCAAACATCTTCAGATGGAATTCTGCTTTTTCGCAGTGCAGGGGTAGCAGTTCATAGGGAGCGACTTCTCCCCTCCGGATTTCTGTCTCTGTTTCTTTAGCCTTTGACAAATGAGATGGGAGAAGATGGAGGAGGCAAGGGAATGTTTTGAGGCCGAAACGAGAAGGCGGGTGGAAAAGAGGGATTCTTCGGTTTGATGTAATGCATGCCAGTGTCTGTGTGCACTGTGTAGTACAGGTCAGTGGTTTTTATCTTTCTGAGGGCAGGCATTGAGGGATACACACATCTGGACAAATGCAGATCCTCCACCCTCGCAGTAAATCATAACCTGTTCTGTAAAGTACGTGTGTGTATGTGTCTGACAGAGACAAAGAGAGATGCGCCGTGTGTTTGTGGGCGTCCATGTGGGAATATATCAATGCACTTTCTCCAAAAAAAAAATGAACAAATTCTCAAATGGCATGACCTCTTTTTGCTCTCCACTGTTTTTCCTTTGACTCTGTCTTTCATATTATAAATGAAGGCAAAAGTTATCTAAACTCCAACTCAGTCAGATGCTGCCATTTGTGACGTGAGTCACGTGGAGTATCTAATGACTGACAGATTCATTGTTGATGTATCTTTTGAGGTTTTTCCCCCCAAACCAGTAAAAAAGTCCATCTCAATTTCTAATGTTGATATCTTCATTTCAATTTTCTGATTAAAAAAAAGAAAAAACACCATTTCCCAAAAGATATTCCCTCATCTGGTGTTGCGATGATGGTGGAGGAGTGTGCTGTCTAACATGTCGGTCCGTTGCTGTTCAGCTGTGTTGAGATCTGGTGACTGTCAAAGCCGTAGCATATGATTCACATCACTTTTGTGTTCATCAAACCATTCATCGACCCCCTGAGCCCTGTAAGGAAGCATCTGCAATTGATTTGCTCTTCGCACATTAATTCAGGTTCTTCCTTTAATTTGTCTGCATATATCATGCTTTCAAAAGCGACATTCACACCACTAGAACAACGATTAGAGCTTCCAGTGCCTATGTGAGGCATCTTGGTATAGTAGCCTCTATTGTTGTCCTCCATTTTATAGCCCTGAATGGCCTCAGTTAAACACTTCGGCTCTCTGAAGTCAGACCTTCCCATTTACAAACAACCTATTTACTCTTCCTTGTTGAGGTAGAAGGATTTGAAGCCAAACACCACATTAAACATCCAGTCGGGTAAACAAAAGTCTAACGCGACTCTGCAGGAGAGAAGGAGAGCTTTTGTACTCAGTCGACCACAAGTACCCCAAAACCACAAAAGTCCTGTATGCAACAAATCTCCTGGCACAACTTGATGGTGATACAAAACCACCATTTGTCAGGCCAAAAACCAAGGCATCCTCCATCATCATCACGTCCACTTCTAAATTTCAAACAGATTCCTAACTGTGTGACACATTGTCATAAGGTTGTAAGGGTAATAGATGTTGAGAAAAAAACACCACCAGAATCATGAATCAAAGTAAAACAATAATTAGGTCTTCTGTTAATCTGTTTGAACAATTTGTCCACAAAGCTCAAGCTCTAGATCTGGAGTATACACAGTGCACAGGCCCTTACCACACATGGTGATGTTACAGTACTCCCATGGAGTTTTGGGATCCATGGTGTAGCACCAGGGACGGAGACGATTATCCGGGTTCCGACAGTAGTTGTCCTTTAAATCTTTGTCCCGATACCTGACAAGAGAAGGGACAGAGAGGATACAATGGAAAGAAAAAAAAGTAAAGAGAAAAGTAAGCCATAACAACTGGTGAGGTCTACCTCTCTGGAGTATTAGCGTCATTTATTTAAGCATCTGTCATGGGTGTGTGCCGGTGGTGTCTGTGAGAAAGATTTCTATGTGATTTGCAGCTTACTTTTTGGGCTGGAAGTGGTGTTTGTGAGGCCTCACTGAGTCCCATCTCTGGCACTCCTTGCCGCTCTCTGTATGGTCCATTTTGCCCTGATAATCTTCCCCATTGCACGTCATGCAGACGTCTGTGGACAAAGACGCAACAGTTATTAAAAACGTTCTTTTCTCTGCTGAGGAATGCAAACAAAACTTATGACTTGTAAGAAGAAATAAACCACTGATTAAACGCTCAATGGTCTCTCAGTTTTAGCTTTATTTTGTCTGAATCTTATTGTCCAGTAATGATATTTTACCCTCTGAACACTGTGGTATGCCACACTCCTCGGCTCGTACATTGGGGTCGGTGGTGTAGCACCACGGACCACCAGGATCGTTGTTGGGATTTCGACAGAAGTTCTCCCTCAGATCTTGCGTCGGGTACCTATCTGGATAAAACCTACAGGGGTGCAGAAAGACATTATTGAATGTGTTAGCTGATACTGTAAAGCTGTACAAATAAATATCCAGGAGTACTTCCACACTTGGCTGCTCCAGTAGTGTATACAGTACTATACCTGTCTGCTTGTACGCTCCATAACAAACCAGGGCATTTACATTAAGATGCAAATCTCTCTCTGTGAAATGTGAGTGCCTCCAGCGTGACCAGATTACATTTTAAATCCTAGAATGACCAGTCATAACACTCATATGCAAAGTAGGTCATCAATATGTTTCTCCTCTTCAGATTTGCACCTTTTGCATGATTGCCTCACTTGTTCCAACCATATCCCCAAATCCCTCAAGTGTGAAGCAGCCAGACTGTCACAGCACAGTAACCGCCAACAGCACAGAACAATGCTATGGACCACTTGGAGGCATCCAAGCAGGTCCTTTGCTGGCAACCTTTGAACACGTTTAAACTTAATCCTTCCCTGTCGTCTGCTTCATCATGTTAACGCGAAGACGACTGTAAGAAACAGAACCTGGCTAGTCCAAACAAATGGGCTGCAACAAAGGGGAGCGGCATGGGATCCCTGGACTAAATGGACAGTCTGTGAAATTCGTCTTCTGTCGTGGCAGGATGATGAAAAGCTGGCATGTCAGCACCCCCTGATCCATGCTGACCACAGTCCCTCTCCCACCCACAGTGAGGGAAGACAGAGGTTTTGGGTATAGACGAAGGGTGAAAAGAAACAAGTCAAGTGATTCACTTTACACCAGAGGTAAAAAAAAAAAAAAAAAGGAAAAGAGAGAATGATGGAGTGAGCAAAAAGGCGAGAGTTCATTGTTTAACTGATGATGTAAGAAAAACACGGACAAAAAATAGGAAGAAAAAAAAGAGCCACGGTCCACCCTCCCTTCAACAGCTTGTCTTACACTCTACCCCAGGCAATGACTCTTAGGGGAGTCTGCTCCGCTCTCCCCTCCGTGGCCCGGGGGGCTTACGCAAGGTTTCTACAATAATGCACAACATCACTCAGCTCAAAGGTGGAAGAAATCTCAGGCATTTAAGTGAGAAAGACCTTCCAACCATTCAGCCATGCCTACATGTGTCAAAATATAACAGGGTTAAGTCTAAGAGCAACATTTCACTTATGCATGTAACTAAAAGAAAACACTTGTTCCCCTCCAAAGCAGCATTATGCCAAAGGCCAAAACTCACATCTGTTGTGTGTAACTCACAAGCTCACTATACTGTATTTCTATCATAACACACTATCCTTAATTTACAAATGGAATTACAAGGTTCCTCGCTTTGCACAAAAAAAAAAAAAGGTTGCATCTGGTGAGACTCCGTAAAAGGCCGCAGCATGGGAGCAAGTTAGCCATAATGATGTTGTGCTAACAGATGTTGGCCAGTTATTCATCTCCTTGCCAAAGTGTGTTCCCATTGGAGCTCAGGCAGACACTATGCTCACAGGCTTTGCTCTCTGGGCCGACGAAACATATTGGCTAGATTTGGGATATCACTAAAGATGAAATCTAGGCCTGAAGAAACTGCTGCAAAATCACTAGTCATACACACCTGGTGGAACAAATGTCATGCTTTAATGCTTCAGCATCCAAAGGAAGTAAGTCCTCAGGGGCAAGAGCAAGCAGGCCAAGACTATATAAATCTGAATACATTAGTAATGATTTTGGGAAGCAGGGTTTGACAGTGTCCTGTGATCAAAGGGAATTGGTAGAAATTTTAGGAAATTTGCTAATTCACTTCCTTGCCAACAGTTAGAGGAGAAACTTAAAAGTTCTCTGATCTTTGTCTACCAAAGCTGCAGTAGACAGAAATCTGGAAAAGGTGCTTCAGATGCCTGAATGTAGTTAAAAGTGAACATACATTGGTGACTTCACCATGGGTTCAAACATCAATCTCCCCAGCAAACATCCTCCATCTCATCCATTGCACAACTGCATCTTGTTCCCACTGCGGACTATGTTGCTTTTTATGCTATCTCCTCTGATTGGTGAAAAGTCTTGTGTTTGACCAACATCTCCCATCAAGGGTTAGACTTTCTACAACCTGAAAATGGAGCCATAAGGAGGTACTGAAGCCAGAAGCATATTGAATTACTATATGCTTAAAGTTTTGTATGTATTTTTTCCCAGTAATACCAAAAAAATGCTGCCTAGCTGAGCTTTAACTAAGAATCCACAGCCAGGAGATGGTTAGCTTCCTCTGGCCTGGCTTAGCCCATCTGGCTCTGTAAAAATGGAACAAAATCGGTCTACCTGCACATCTCAAACACACAAAATTAACAGATTTAATTCACAGCTGTATCCTCCAGCGTCCAGCCTTTCTGCTTATCTCAGCTATCTGTACGGTCTCCAGCTATGAGAGTGATATCAATCTTGTCACTTAACTCCCAGTAAGAAAGAAACTGAGTATTATTCCCTAAATGTCAAAACTTTTCCGTGAAATAAAAAATGAATTTAAACCTGCAGGGGTGTGTTTCTGTAGCTGAAAGTACTCCACGCCTGCCCAGCGAAGAAAAATAAAAGAATGTCCCTAAAGGAAAAGATAAATGATGGCAGTGTTATCTATTATTATTAATATGAGGTGAAATGTTCCATTCCATTCTCCACGCTTGGCCGGGCATCAATACACACTTCTTTTAGAGCCCTGGTTCAGGCCCTAAATATAGACCAACAGGTGGAAGTCCCATTCCTGGAAGGGAACCTCCTGAGAAATCACCCCTGCCCCACGGCGATCGGTCAAGCATGAAAATAATAGTTACCTGAAACTCAAATGGTGCGTGGTTCATTATGGTGGTAATTCTCACACAGCGGGGCAGTCCCATGTTGGGTAACCCCATGGTGGCACTAAATCTCCCTTAAGCAAAGCTCCCTCTGACCCTTTGAAAGTTAAAAGTTGCTGACAACTCAGGACGATAGAAGTCTCCTTCTGTCGGGACCACGTGTCAAATAAACAATGACAAAGGACTCCTAATGTGAACAACTGCTTCTGGAAAGTGATGAGAGGACTCGGGGAGACGGCGGGGAACAACACTGCAATCTGTTTTAATTGAAGGGGGAACCTGTGTTTGCTCTCGGCATGCTTGTGGCTGCGTGAGCTCAGCTGGACATCAGACAGAACATGACTTCAGTCTATAAATCCTTGCGCCTTCTTCCTTTCATTCTGCCTCCCTTCTATTATTCACTCCGCACTTCTTCAAACTCTTATTACTCTGTCTCTCCCCCTCCTCCTCCCTGCCGCAGTTAAAATATCTTGTAACTAATGAGCGCCGCTAATGAGATGCTGGCACAGATTCCATCTTTTCAAAGTCACTGATCTGGCCTCGCTGTTAGCTGAGAGAAAACATCTTTGGGATACACCTGATGGCCTACAGTGCTGCATGAAAAAAACTCATTGGGGAGGACATCCCTGCATGTGTTGAAAGAAATCTGACTTAACTCTGGATAAACGTTCAACTGTCTCTGAGCCTCCACCTTCCCTTAACCCCTGAGGTGCAAGAGGATGAACCCAGCGTCAATAAATCAGCCGCTGGGGCCTGCTCAGTATCAGACACAGAAGTAGAGAAGGAGCATCCAGGAAGATGGTGGAAGCCTGAAGATTAGAGATGCAAGCTTTGAAGAGTACAAATCTGCAAGATGTGGGAATGAGGAGGGAGTGATTCACACATTCTGCTCCTTGTAAATAACAACTGGTGTCCTGCTGAGAAAGGCACTGGTACTATAAATATCCCCTATTTTAATGTAAGAATGTGCTTGTTGTTGACTGTTTTAACAAAAAAAAAAAAGCTAGGACTTACGTGTGCTCATTGATGTTATTATCTGACCACGCTTGGCAAGTGATGTTTGACTTCGTCCAAGACCTCCTCCCTCTGTAGTTGTCCTTGGTGCCGACGATGCACTCCCTTATATAATCTAAGGAAGGCATAAAAAAAACATTTGAAAGCATCCATTCATGTTCTCGTTTTGATACAAGCTGTCCATGTGTGTTCTCAGCGTGCCAATTCACACAGCATTCAGGCAATTAAAAGCTGATCTGTCTTGACCACCTGGAATACATTTTCCCATGTATGGTCAGAAAGACTTTTTTTTTACAGCGAGCGTGTAGCACGTCCCGGCTTGTGTGTTGTTCCCAAAACAAGACAACTCCCTGAAGTTCATTAAATGTCACCGAGGGGAGCTTTCGTAAATTTAGCAGTAAATTCTAAAGTGCTAGATTCCACAGCCTGCGCCCGAGGAAGGTTTTGCGCCTTCAACTGTAAACAATGAACTTTTTTTTTGTTTACACCCCTCTTAAGCCCGCTACATGTTTATGCGACTCTCCCCGCAGAAGCGATTAAACAGCAGGCGAGGGCGAGGAGGCTTGGTTGCTTTTATTGTGTCAACAGAGAATCCAAAGACTTCAAAAAAAAGTGAGGAGCCGACGCAAGAGGCACAAACACCAACAAACAATTTGCCTGTTTAAAGCCCTCCCCTGCACCTGAATGTTCTCATGAGAAAAGAAAAAAACACTCAAGTGCATCGAAGCCTCTGAAAGTTGGGACGTGTACCTTTTTTTTCATACAAAGTGAAGTTGATGTTGGCCTGCTTCTGCACACCGTGGGTGAAACGGTCAAAAGGAAGCAAGTGGCATTTCCTGTTGTGCCTTTGAAAGTTGAAAGCCCTGTCGAAACACACGGGAAGTAGTTGGGAGATGAACAAATGATAAACAGCAGAAATATGTAAATACAATGAGAGACACGGAAGGAGAGGCATAGCAAGGGGGGAGAGAAACATGAAGAAACCGCGGCTTCAGGGAAACAGAGAAGGAAATGTGACTCACCTGCAGTTGAAGTTTTTCTTGACCTTTTTGCATTTTCGGGCGCAGTGTTCCTGTGAGCGGCTGTTTCGTACCAACGGGGGCTGAGGACAGTCTGTGCAAACCAGCATGTGGCTCTCAGTCTTTTCATACTTCTGTAATAACTGATGAGACTTTCTACAGAAACCTGCAAGACACAAAGACACAACTTGCATGTGTTTGCGCGTCCATTGGATTCACTGTTATGTTTCAGGACATGAGATTGCTATGTTTTGGTCCATATCTTATATAGAGTTTGTTGTGTGTGTCACCATGTACCTCAAAGGAAGGACAGTGTTCAAAGGACTGTTATAGTGTTATATTTATTTTGACCAATTATAACTCAAGAAGATAGATTATCTGAGTCGCTACAGTAAGAGGTGTAGTAGACACCAAAAACAAACACAAACCAAGAGGCTGGAGAAACAGGGACAGCGGCACAAGTACCAGCCATCAGGTGACTTCTAAATAAGGTTAAGGAGAAGACAAGACAACCCAAACGTGTGCTTTTGATTTATAAACTTCATTCACGTCGCCATTAAAGTTGAAAATCTGACTTGAAAACTCCCTCAGCTTAACACTCTGAACACCAAAACCTACTGGTGGGCAGGTTTGAAAGACATGTCATATTTGGAAAAAAGCTGCCAAATTAACACCTTTTGTCTGAGCTACAAGCTGTAAAAACAGAAAGAAAACTTTAGAAGGCCTTAAATCATGATATTTTATGAAAATCAATTTATTCTACAGAAAATACCAGTTTGTTTTAATCAGATTATCCATCCATCCATCCATTGTCTATACACCGCTTAACCCTCACCAGGGTCTTGGGGGGCTGGAGTCTATCCCAGCTGACTTAGGGTGAAGGCAGGGGACACCCTGGACAGGTCGCCAGTCTATCACAGGGCTACACTTAAACAAGCACACTCACATTCACACCTACGGACAATTTAGAATCACCAATTAACCTCAACATGTTTTTGGACCTTGTGGGAGGAAGCCAGAGAACCCGGAGAGAACCCACACTGCACGGGGAGAACATGCAAACTCCACACAGAAAGATCCCGGGTGTTCTCACTGAGATGTGAACTGGTGACCTTCTTGCTGCGAGGCAATGATGCTAACCACTGCTCCACCTTGTAGCCTGTTGTACATGATACAATTTTTTTTTTAAATTGTAAAATAAATAATCAAGGATTAAGTGGTGTATAGATAATGTATTGCTCATACTTCAGTTCTTGGAGTTCTGTTTCATTCTAGTCATGATTGTGCTGTTTTCATGGAGGTGCAGGACTTCAAATTGCTGTGAAAATTAGCCAGCAGTGAGTAAAAATGTGACAGGCACACACACACTTAAAAATAAAGAAAAAAGCCAAACAATGCTTGGTTTTCAGAGTTAATAATGTGGATTTGGAAACAAATGAGGACTGTCATAACCAAAACTACATTAATCAAACCCCAGTTTCACCAATTTAGTCCTATTTTGTCAAACTACAATAAAATGTTACGTATTGACATGACCAGATCTGCAGACGTGTAACCATCAGGAACTAAATGCTTGCAAATCTTAAACATTTGCTTCTTTTATCTCTTTACTGTCTGTTCCATATGCTGTGACTCTAGTAGCAAAAACAAAGCCAGTGGACAACTGCCAAAAACTGTAGTTCCTTGAATGGCCACTTGAGGCTGGGTGCAAGAGCAAGTCGATCCCCACAGACCTCCCTGATCGAATGCTCAACTTCACAGCAGAAATATAGAAGCTTACAGCCTGGTAGGAAAACAGTTTTGGCCTCTATGGCTACTTTTCTCCTTCAGAACAACTGCACGGAAAGTCGGTTTTTAAAGAACTCATCCATTTAAATTGCACAAAGGCTTAAGGTTATGCATAATTAAGGGAATGGCTGCTTTGAAAGTGACAGTTGGGTACCGTCACAGGAGAGTCACTGGCACATGTCATCTCCACTCATGCTTCACCTCTTTGCTCATTTTTAAATCAGTCGAGAGTTTGGAGAAACCTGCCAATATGGTGGCATGAGTTACCACACTGCTTTAAAACGCTCTTCAGGAAACCCGTGGGTAATGTCATGACAGGTTCCTTCATCTTTATATGCAGTCAATAATGTGACTAATTGTTGCAGTCTTTGACTTTGTCCTGGAGCCTGACGGCATCCCTGGTTTGGTTCAGGCCAAGGTTCAGGTTGTATGTTCAATCTTGGTAAGACCTTCAGCTTAAAGCAACTGGACTTCTCTTTTTGGTTCTTGAGGATGTTTCAACTTTCATCCAAGACACTTTTCCAGTTCTGAACAAAACAAACCACTCTGATGTCTTTAAGAACCAAAACAAGAAGTCCAGTTGCCTTCCACTGAAGCTGCAAGATTACCATGACCTGGATGACTGAGAATCTAAACAGACATGTTGCATCTCCATTAACAAAGCATCAAACATTACTGGAACAGTGGAAAACATGGCGCAACATTTCACGAATTGGTGAGAATCATTCCTGGAATTTTCTCCTGGTAGTCGCACTACTGGAAGAGCTGGTTTTATGCACGGAGGAGCTGGTGAAAGATTAAACAACTTCACTGTTGTACATTGAACTGGGTGGCCAGCGTTTAATATAAGCATCCTTCAGCTACGGTTTTCTTCAAGCCCAGTGTTTGTTGGCATGTCAGCGTCCACCCTGCTGAAACACGCTGAAACATTTCGTGCATGTCCTGAACCCCTCCAAACTCAGCTGTGAGGCACTTCTTGACAGAAATAAAAAAATTGCTTCAGCTGAGGAAGGAGATAGTTTATGTGTCAGAAAAGCAAGTATGAAGTGTGTCCAGGATCAAAGTCCGGCTCCAAATGCCCCCCAGCAGTCCCGCTTCAATCCAAGGTCCCTGAAAGAAATGCAGATTGGGCGCTGAACTGTGTCGACAGCCAGGAGAACAGAATGACGTCCGTGGACAGGCTGCAGTGCCTCAGCTGGAGTTTTGATGCTCGTGAAAACATATCTCATATTTTATTGCTTTCAGAAAGAGCCCAAAATCAGCTTTTTCCATCAATTTTTACTACATCGTGGTATTTGTGTTACTATGGTTTCATGTTATTGTAGATAAATTTAATAGGTATCCGTGGATTCCTTCAGAAACCTATTTCAAAATCCTGCATCCATGACTCTGTAGAGTGTTCGCGGAGATCCTGCTGTTTCACAACAGCAACTTTTAGTTTAGTCCATTTCATTACGAGCAACAAGGGTGACTTTTTTGGGGGTAAAAATAAAAAAACAAGGTGAATTCAGAATCCCAGGGGAACTTTAACATCACTCATAATTTCTACTGAACAATAACGTTTTATGTTGAACATTTTATCTCTCAGCTGTTGGCACCCGACTCATACTAGAAAACATATACAGTATGTGTGGAAAAATGGAGACCCGTCAAAGGTGCATTATAATTCATTCTTGCTTTATTTATGGGCCTTTGTTGAGAGCCATTTCTTTGGAAGAAGTACATCAAAAGAGAATTCTATCACTGCAAAGATGTGGCATAATGTATATGAGATCCAACTGGGTTCAAAAGCGGGACAAACCCATATTTTAAACCCAAATCCTCTGTGATACAAATCATTCATTTTTTACCCACTGGAAAAAGTTAAGAGCCCATCCTTCACCTGAGTGCAGCTCCACTGTGAATACAGTTTCCGAACGCGACAGCAACGTCTTTGGATGCAATGAGTGTTTAGTTGCAATAGTTTTGAGTTTATAATTAGAGGCAAGTGCGATATAAATCACAGAGGAAAATCTCATGCTACCGAGTTACAGCTACGTGCTCCTGTGCCAAGACCCGACACAAGACGTTGTGTGTGTACTTAGGATATTGTAAACTGTGGAGCGTTTAGAGGCTCCTCGTGGTTGAAAATGGTTTTTGGGGAGGACGTGTTATTAATGTTTGGGCTCCACTGGACCACATCTGGCACTCATCACTGTGTTGTTCCAGCCCTGATGTCTGGCCAGGCTGCTCAATTAGATTTCACTTAGTCTCTTCCTCTCCTTGCACTCAGACTCCTGCTATCTCCAAATCCCAAACATTTGCCGACGCTGAAGATTATAATAAAAGGTGCTCAGCGAGTTAAAGCGAGGTGAGATTTAATGAGAAGAGGCAGCTATGGCTTAGAGGAACAGGATTGTGTATCTAGTTTAGTTTGAAAAATGTAGATAGGTAAAGGTGAAGGAGCGACACTTTGACCTGGCGCAGAAACTTCCACTTAGGTGCCTTTGAGCAAAGAGTGTCGGCTGGAAGAGTAGTTAGCCTTCCTGGATATGTCAAAATGTAGCGATAGTAATGATAGAAATATAATTTTTCAGGCAGTTTGGAGGAACAGCTAAGTTGCAGGAACAACAGGTTAAAGGTGTGCCTCTGTCTGGGAATTAAGCAGACATTACATCTGCTTCAGAGAGCGCAAAATGTGGTAGTGGGCTCAGCAGCCAGATGTTACCCCCCCACCTCCATACTCACCCCTCCTACCTCTCTCAAACACACACACCTTTTCTATCTCTCTACCGGGACAAAAAGGCACGAATACCACAATCCGAGGCGCGCGTTTTTTTTTCTTACTTTCTACAACTCCAGGGCGGTCAGAGGTCAGGGTCGGCACCCTCTGGAGGTGGTAACTATGGATTCAGTGCTTTACTCCGTGACATGTCAGCGGGGCAGGATGTGAGCCTCTAAAGCCACCAGATAATGTGCGCTTCATAAAGGAGGAGGAGGAGGAGGAGGAGGGGGGAGGCACGGAGCTCGTTTGGATGCGTTTAAGAGACTGGTGGTCGTGCGTGCGCCCCGTGCTGCGCTGCCAAATCACAACATGTAAGGCATCCTGTGTGTAGCTGGCGTCGGCCCAACAGATGCAGGAGTGTCTATTACTGACATGACCATGACCTATATAAAAAGGTTTAATGCCAAAGCAGTAACATCAGCAGATGTCCTTAAAGAAGAAGAAGAAAAAAAGGCGCTTTGGCACGGTTTTACGCAGATGGAACGGAGCTTTTTTTTTTATTAATGTGCTGACAGAAACTTGAATATTAATTATAACAAACTTATCTCTCGCTCTGTTTGTTATTACATCAGCTTGTAAAAGTGAACAATGGGACCTCAAGGGGCATTAAAATAGAGAGTTTGATGAGCTGCTCAATTATTTCACCAGTTTGTTTTTTCTTTTTGTATTGGAGTCATTTAAAGCTTGTTAACAGACAAAAAAATAACACAAACAGTTCAAGATCAGGTTTGTGATCAAGTTCATTCAATGTCACGCAAGGTCAGAAAATGTAATTAAAACGGATTCTTTTTATCCAGCCGTGTATCCATTTGTATGAGAAGCTGCTTTACTGAGAAAATGTCAAAAATCCTGTATTAAAAAAAGATGAATGAGGGTTAATATTAGTCCCATTTCCCTACTTTGTTTCATTTTCGGTGCTTTTTATTTTTCACTGTAATTTTCCTGACTTTCTCTCTTTTCAATTTTTCACCTTTTTGCGCAAAATGAAGAAAAATAAACCAACTAGAGTTCACTTCTATAGAAATTGCAGCTCATGCAGATATTCAACATCCACTCTTCAGATCTTACCTGTGTTCATAAAAGTGACCACAACGCACAGCAGAGCTTGGTAAATCCATACGTTTGTCCTCATGGTTAGAAGTTTGGAGCAGGTTAGAATCCGGATTGAGTGAGACACAGACTCGGTGTGAAGTCCAGAGCGGCTGATGATCAGCAGAAGACTTCCTCACACAGATGCCACTTTCCCAAGAACCCACACGTCCTCGGTTCAACCCCCTTTTTTACTGAAGTTTGTGCTCCTCTCTGTCAGCGTCTCTCCTCGCTGCTGTCAAGCTCTGCGCAGCCTATAAGTAAGCCTTCCAGCCGCTGTTTTCAAAATAAAAGCAGATGTGAGTCATGGGGTTAATTTTCTAATGAAACAGTCAGATGATGTGTCACGTTTGTCTAACTTTCACAAAATCCAAAGAACAAGACATGGACGCTTTTATTCTTATATTTTACTTGTCCTTTTTAAAGCCTTTTTAATAAGGAACCACTTTATATGAAGGATGTTTTAAGAATAATTTATAAACTGTTAATACTTTAATTGTACTTTAGACAGCAGCTGGAAACCATTATTTAAAAAAAGAAAAAAGTTGCCAGGTTGCACAAGTTGTGTTTGGCTTCAGTTTGTCCTCTTTGTCTTTTTAGCTCTTCAGTTCATCAGATAAACCACTTGACTACAAGAGACCGACTGACCTCTGAATCACTGGTGAAGAGCTGCCAGCTGATCCACTTATCAGCATTTATAATCACATGTGATGGATTGTTGGTTAAAACAGATCAATTACTAACTTTCCTCTGACCTCCACAATAGCAGATCCATTAACAGTGCAATGCTTCGGGGCTTATTGGAAAGTAAATCCACTGTCATTCACAGAACGTATTGTTAAACAGCAGCTGTCGAGCTGAAGTGCTCTCGAGTTCTGAAATCAGACCGGTGTCGTGAACTGAAATCACAAGTTTTAAATAGTAAGGTTGAGACCTGCAGTGTTATTAATGATGTGGATTTCCCTGAGTATTATACATATTCGCACTAAAACCCCAACAAAAGTATAAAAAGTACACTTTTACTGAGATAAATTAAAAGCTAAGGCCCTGAAAAAAACCAAATAGTAACATTTTAAACTCTGTATTTCATTGGGTAACCAACGCAAATGAGCACAAACTGGGCTTCTGTCTTTTCTTTGCACCATCTAAAAGCCTGTCAGCTGCATTCAGAACCAGCTGTGAAGCTGGACTGAGTCAACCCACATCACAGTATTCAAGCAGCAAGTCACTGTTTCAGCAAAGTGATAACATTGCTTATTACTAACCTGATATTTTCAGCTGTAGGGGCTTTTTTTTAACCTAAAATGTCTCTTGTTAGAAACCATTCTCCCTTCAACAGCAGGCAGTTATATTAAATCAGACGTAACGTTACACTGTAGAAAAACAAAAAAAAACAAAACCCTGAATTTTGCCTATTTATTTTACAGATATGTTTTCCCAGATACATAAATGAGATGCAATTAGTCTAATGTATTGAAAGTAGCAGTTCTGTAATTTTCCAAACATTTGCATAATTTAATTTCAGATGTTTTCGCAACAAAAATGTTGAATAAATGTGTCTCAGTGTCTGGAGATGGTGGTTTTGTGTTATTTTACAGAACTCCGGTGTTAATTTTTTCCCATTATCATTATTTTTTTATGCTGCTTTGAAGCCTGTGGCATCCAATACTGTAATAATGAACTGAAGACAACAAAAATGTGCACATAACACAACTGAAAATGTTATAAAAGCAATAATGTTTTATATTATATGTGTATTTTTCTCCCTCAGAACTGGTAATACAAGAGGTTTGACAGATAATATGTTTATTTTCAGTCCAACAATCTACACTGTGGCTTTTACAGAAATTAAATTTGGACAAAAAAGACTGACTGTTGGAATTAAAGTGCAGACTTTGAGCCCCATACATGATGTGGGCATAAACTCATTGAGGATCTTATTGAGCAGGTGATAGACGACCTTGTTGGGAGACCACCATGTAATAAGTATCCAGAATTCCAGGTCAGATAAACTTCTCAAGAAAAGGGCAGCTTCTCCTGAAGCCTTTTTTTAGACTTCTGAGGAATCCCATCGAATGAGTAATTGTAATGAAAACGCATTCAATCGAACCAATTACTTGTTACTCATTGTATTACATGTTAGAAAAGCATTTCCAGTGTTTAATTTACTGTTTTATCTATTAAATGAAAAGGAAATATTTAGGAAATTGTGCTAAATTTTAGAATGTATTTTACTTTTGATGTAAAAAAAACAAAAAACAAAAACATTTTTAATTTTACTTTTCTTTTTTTTTTCTTTTTTTAAAAAAGGAAATGTACTGCTTATTCCCAGTTACAGTATTTTACAAATCACAGTGTATTTTTGTAGGATAAGACATTTTTTATTTAAATTAAAGATTTTTTTTTTTTCTTTACAGTCTCCTTTTTTTTTCTTTTAAGCAATTCATTCCATTATCGTGTGCTACAGGGCCATAAAAATAATTTACAGAGCTGCGTTGGGCTGGCAGTCATCAGGCAGGATCTTTTTGACAAGATCCTCTCTCTGTCTCTTCTCACTCGCCTCACTTTGGCTCAGCTGTAAAGGCAGATGGGATTCTTACATGGTGCGCCAAACAGCACTTGGCGCAAAGTATTGATTGCATCCTCAGAGGATCGGCCAGTTGCAAAACACTGAACGCAGCACCAGACAAAGTGCATAGAAAGTGCACAACAAGCAGAAAATAGCTCACTGAAGTGTCCCTAAGAAAGACACTGTTGACACTGAACTCCGGCCAAACTGGACCCACCGATACGAACAACTGTGGGGTTTTTGATAGGGCTCCACTCGATCAATCACGACCGGCAGGGACAGGAATATAGGCTGTTCCCAGTCGGTGTCATGACTCGAAGGCTGCCTCCCTCTGTGATTAATGTGCTCAATAAATTGACACACATGAGAATGAATTGCACAAACCCCCGATTTAGTGATGCAGTGCCGTGCCACATCATGAGACAGCATCTTTTCTCAAAGAGGGGTCAGCTGTTCTCATGAAAGTCAAGCTATGACAAAGATGAAAAATATCTGTCAGGGACTGAGGGAATATTTGTCCTGCCGTTCGAACAAGCCCCTCAGGAGACGGAGATATGAGGGGAGGGAACAGCACCGAGAGTCATGGCATCGTCCACTGGCACATCTCGTAAAGGCCTCAGAACTATAATGTACAGAGAACTTTATAATGTCGTGGATCTTTATTATAGGAATGTTACGTTGATTACAGGAGTTTAAAAGCACAATAAAGGAACAAAAAGGTCACAGTAAAGACAACGCTGAGCACCGCACGCACAGTATAAATCCCTATAGGGACACTGTAAGACATGAAGTGTGTGTGTTTAGATGGAGGCAGCTGGAAGTGATCCTATTTGGGTACTAGAGTACAGGACTTTTGTTGGGCTCTAACCCTTATTTGACAGGAAATCCACACTTCAGCCGTTAACGGGCGGCGGGCTTAAAGCCCTCCAGAGAGAGCAGCAGGGGGAAGAATTGGTTTGAGGTAAATGCCAGACGCCCGGCCTTCCCTCATTAAGACGCGTGCAGGTCATTTGGTTTTTCTTTGGTCCCTTTTCCTCCCTTTGGTGCCTGTGTGTGTGTGTGTGTGTGTGCAGACCAGCAGGTGTAGAGGTGTGTGTCGCTGGCACCGTTCACCACACACACACACATCACACTCGCAACGTCAATCAGTGTCAGCGCAGAGAGGAAATCCAGACGCTTAGGAAAATCTGTCTTGGAGCAAATTTCTGTCGATTGGGTACCTTTTGAATTACAGCTCGCCCTGTCCCATGTGCTTCCCCGAGCCTTGGGTAAATAAGTTAGGTCTGACAGCTGATTATGCATCAAGGGAGAAGATGTTGGAAGTGGGAGCGCTCTTTCATAACAGACCAAAGCGAAGGGAGTATTAGCTTGCATGATTTATTTTTTTCACTCCGGGCCTGTTCCTGAGGAGTCCAAACTGTCACTCAGGCTGCAGCGCCGTTAATTAGAGCATGGGAAGTTTGGTAGCGTCACGATGTGTAACACTGATGAGCTGTTTCACCTAAACGCTAGCTTAAGATGTAATCAGTGTAATTGACACACATTTAATAGCCGCCAGGATCAACCTTTAAAAAATTCCAGCGGCCCAATGTCATCAACGCTAATGTTCATATTCTTGTTTGTGTTTGATGAATAATCTCAGCGTTTCTGCAGCACTGAGGGAGGATCGGACTCGCAAAAGCCTGAGGATAAAGTAAATAGTAAAAGTTGGGTTATAATGAAAGAAAAGAAACTGATGTGATTAATCATTAGATATGATTTCGCCACCCATTTAGCTGTGATTTTATCGCAGGGTTTGACGTTGACATTTCTGCTTCTGTACTGTCCAAAAAGACACTTGGAAACGGCACCGGCCTCCAAAGGGAAGTCTGTTTTAGGTAACGTGGAGCAGGTTCCTTCAGACGTGTTCTTGACATATTTTTATTTGAGTGTCCAGGGCATTAAAGGTGGAGTATGTGATTCTAGTCGAATGCATTTTTCTGTCAAATTCAGTCAATTTCTCCTCAGGGTCTCAGTTGTGTGTGCACAGGGGGAGAAAAAAAAATCAGGTGTTCGTACACCGCCCTGGCTCTGTCAGTGGGAAACAAAATAGCTGGGGCTGATTCACACAATGCTGTTACAGCATGCACGTTTGTACTCAGAACACTGGTGAAGGACAGGGGAGGAAAGATGAGGAAAAGTGGGCAGGAGGAGGAGTATCTAAATATCTTTCTCCAGAATCAAGCAGCATGCGTCAGTAAAGGAGGCTGCATTTTCAGAGCCACGATCACAGGAAATCATTTTCAGAACATCTTGTCACAACGGCTTCACCTGTTGATTTGTATGGCGAAGGAAGTAGCTCATACTGAAGCAAGGCTTGCATTTCCAACCAAGATGGCCGACAATCACAGCGGGAGAACCGAATGTGAGCGAGTGTTATTTTGTTTGACATTAAAAACAATTTTGATGTCGTCAGTTAAAAAAGCAATGTTGTTGTTAGATTGCCAAAGTGTGAGAAACAATTTATGCTCATAATAATCTTTTAATACCATAAGTTATTTGAACGAGAGCAGCATTTGGGTGGAATGAACCTTTAAAATTAGAAGTAATTGGA